AGTTAAGAATCCTGCAATATAGAATTCTGATACAGATTAAATATTGAAACTTATCTTACAAGAAAATAATACATCCAATAGGCCAATTCTTTATCAAGTAAGTTATAACCTTGCTTAATCTTACTCGTATCTTAAACGTAAGCATTGGTGATGGTCGACTTTATTATTTCCTTTTTCTTCAAATCAACCAACCACCTTGATATTCGACAAAAAATTGTGTTACATGGTGAAAAAAAAATAGTTTCAGTGGTAGCTAATATTAGACTTAAATTAAGAAACACTGAAGAAACAGATTAATTTTAATACTTAGTTTAAAATACAGTTTGTGCTAATTTTGTTGACAAAAATAAATGCATCGTTATCATTTATATTTAATAAGCTACTTTAGAATGGACATTTTTTTCTCATTGTATATTTACTGGTAGAGCAAAGCAAAATATTTTTCAAAGCAATTTTTGTACAATAATAACAAGTTTTTTTTATTTATTTTTATTTTACATCATAGTAATAAAAATGTTGGTTGTAATACCTACTAACATTAAAAGATGCATGTACATATACAAGTTAAAATGAAATATAACTTAGCATAAATTTGAATTATCTATGTCCTAACCATAAAAAAAATATTTCACTGTTCAACTGAAAGATAGTAGCAGAATTAGTTTTATTTTATAACATTGACATTTGTATCTAAAAAGCATAGCTAATTTTTAATCTGGTTCAAATGTTATATCTAAATAATGAAAACATACGATCAGAATACTTTAACGTGAGGGTTTATAGTTTGTTCCCCATGAAAGCAAACAACAGAAACATATAACGGTTTTAAAATGATGATGAAAGACAATGACTTTTTAAAAATATTATTAAAGTATGTAACACTTCAGAAAAAGAAGAGAATTTTGTTGAATTAATCAAAAATAAGATTTAAATAAATAACACAAAAACATCGATTTTTAAACATCGTGTAAGTACCGTTACAAATGAGAAGATATTTATGAACAAAAAAAAGGGGAAAAGTTATAAGTTACAATTGTAGATTTTGCTTGTTAGATTAAACAGTCAAACGAAGATGTCTTATTTAATATTACTAAAAATAATATCACCGACTGTAGGCGCAATTCTATTTTAGAAAAACACGTAAGCAGCAGTCCGCACTCTATAACTTGAGGTCATCAGAGAACGTCAAGTAATCCTTTTTTCTAACTGGTGGATGGGTTCCTCATCGTATACACATGTTCAGATTTAATCTTTCTTAATATATATCTCATTAAATTTTTTTTGCGTATAGTTTTTGTAAAAAATCAAGGGGACTGGCATTACTTGATTTGAGCTCCCTGCAATTAATAAACAGAAGTTAATAAATTTTGTAATTGTAATTTGATAAATTTAAATAAAATTTGATTTTTTAACAGTAAGTGACCCGGAGACTAATGGGGTAATATTGAAATGAATATTATAAAATTATTTTCATTATATTAAAATTTAACTAATATTTATTTGTAGAAATTCTAGGATTAGAAATGAAAGAGGGGAATGAACATTGGTCATTGATCGGTTCAGGTCAAAAAATAAGTTGCTCAATGAAGCCAGACAAAAAATATTTGCAGATCCAGAATTAAGGGATATAGAGCAGATACAGAGCCGAAACTATGCAAAGCTAATTTACAAAATAAAGAAAACTTTAAGCTAGCGTCTGAGCGTCTCTGTCTTCAAAATCAAAAACTAATACAGATTTTCAAATTCATTGCAGCCGCAAGGAGCCTTTTTATTTCCCAAACATAAAATACATTTAAAATTTTCAATTGAATTGCAAGAAATGTCTGAAAAATTATTTCTTCTTATTTGTTTAGCATTAACAATTGTTATAAAGTAAACTTAAGACGATTCTGTTTCTTTTTACACATTTAAAATATAATATCAATTACTAAATAAGGCATATGGCAGCAATATTACATAGATATTAAAAAATTTATATACACGACGTATGTATAAGCTGCATTTAGAAAGAACTTTATTTCCATGATAAAATTTCATCCTTTTTTTTTAACTTATTTGTTTTTTATCTCCTCTACGTGCAACAGAAAGAGATTTCCTCATTTTATATATATGTTAAGATATAAATTTTCAAAATATATATCTCATTAAATTTCTTTGTGTACTGTAATTGTGAAAAGAAAAGAGACGGTTATTACTTGATTTGAGTTCCTTCTAACATTCAATCTATAATTTATTACATTTGATTTTAGCAACAAATGATATTAGGTTTTTCAATAGTAAGAGACTCAGAGCCAAATAGACTAAGATTGTAAATAACATTAAACAATTTTTTCTTTGCAATAATTTTTTTATTCGTTTCTTTTTATGCGCTGGTACAAAAGGAAATGAATTCCTCGATGAGAATATACATTTAGATATAATAGTTCTTAATATATATCTCATTAGTTTTTTTTGAACAGTTATTGTAAACAACATAATTGTGGCTGGTTTTCTTTCATTTGAACAATATGTAATTTAGAGTCTTTACATTTGGTTAAAACAAAGAAATATTATTAAATTTTGCATTAACAAGAGCCTCCGAGCTAAAAAGGCTGCTAATGTGGTGAATATTAATACAATTTTACCTGTATAATAATATTCGAAATACTTTCACATATTTAGAATATAAATCTAATGAATAAATAAAGCATTTGAATTTAGATATAATAGTTCTTAATATATATCACATTAGTTTCTTTTTGAACAGTTACTGTAAAATACTTTGTGGGTGTTTTCTTTCATTTGAGCACCGTGTAAATTGGAGTCATTACATTTGGCTAAAACAAAAAAATATTATTCAATTTTTCAATAGCAAGAGCCTTAAATAGGCCGCTAATGTCATGAATATTATTACAATTTAAACCTGCAAAATAATATCTGAATATTGATTTAAATAGAATTTTCACATATTTAGAAATTAAATCTAATGACTAAAAAATAGCTTGTTACCACTAATATACCTATTTAAAAGTATATATATATATATGCACACACGACGGATGCATTTGTTATAAACAGAAAGGACTTTATTTGGAAAGGATATTTTTTCTTCTTTTTTACTTATTTTGAATTTGATTTTTTGTGTTCTTTTATTGTAACAAAATAAATGCGACTGGTATTATTTTATTTGAGAATTATGTAAATTAATGTTATAAGTTAATTGTATTCGATTAAAAAAAAATTCAAATTTTCCCATCATAAGATACTCGGTGCTTAATAGGCTGTTCATGTAATGAATAAAAATACAATTTTGAAGTAGAAAAATATTTGATTATATTTTTAAATAACACTTACTCATAATTAGAATATGATTTCATTGACTAAATAAAGTGTTTGCTAGCAATATTATATCTATTTAAAGTATTTATAAATACACTATGATTTATTAGCCACAAACGGAAAGGACTTTACTTCGAACGGACATATATTTCCTTCTTTTTTTAATTATTCTGCTTTTTCCCTGTTTAGGAGCAATGAAAAGTAAGTTCATCATTGTAAATATTCGTTTAGATATAATTTTCAAAATATTTCTCATTAGATTTTTTACTGCACAGTTGTTGTAAATAAATCAAGGAGGCTTTCTAAATTTGATTTTCTAATTTGTTTAAGACAGAGGTCTAAAAAATGGTTTTTTTCTCAAACGTTTAGTTGTAAAGTTCAGTTTTTTTTGCCTGCAATTTTTGTAAAAAACCAAAGGCACTTTTCATTTCATATGATCAAACCGTAATTTATAGTTAAAAGTTGCTTTTATTTGGTTTAAACAAAAAATAATATTAAATTTTCAAGAAAATAGGAGCCTCGATAGCTAATATTCTATTATTTAATGAATATTAGTAGTGTTATTTACCTATTATAATAATGTAATATTATTTATTTTTAGAGATTCAAGGATGTAGAGATCAAGGGGGAAATAAAGCCTGCATTGATAAAATAAGAATCTGCATAAATAAACCAGAGAAAATTTCGGAGTGTTCTTGTATTCAGGGATATAGAGAAGATACAGAGACGAAAGAATGCATAGGTAATATACATAATAATTTATAACGGGAAGAGTTAGAGGGGATCTGTCATATACATTAAAAAAAAGTTATGATTTACGAATTCCGAAAAATTTAAATATTCTCTTTCTTATTATTAAACGGATGCATTTGTTATATACAGAAAGGACTTTATTTGGAAAGGATATTTCTTCTTCTTTTTTACTTATTCTGTTTTTTTTGTCCAGGGGCCACAAATAGTTTGTTCTCTATTATAAACATTCGTTTAGATGTAATCTTTCTATGAATATTACTCATTATTTTTTGTGTACTTTTATTGTAACAAAATAAATGCGACTGGTAATATTTTATTTCAGAATTATGTAAATTATTGTCAGAAGTTAAATTGCATTTGATTAAAAAAAAATTTAAATTTTCCCACCATAAGATACTAGGTGCTTAATAGGCTGCTCATATAATGAATAAAAATACAATTTTGAAGTAGAATAATATTTGAATAATAGTTTAAATAATACTTACGCATAATTAGAATATGATTTCATTGACTAAATAAAGTGTTTGCTAGCAATATTATATCTATCTGAAGTATTTATGTATACATCATGGATTTATTAGCCATAAACGGAAAGGACTTTACTTCGAACGGACATATTTTTCCTTCTTTTTTATTTATTCTGCCTTTTCTCTGTTCAGGAGCAATGAAAAGTGAGTTCTTCATTGTAAATATTCGTTTAGATAAAATTTTCAAAATATATCTCATTAGATTTTTTACTGCACAGTTGTTGTAAATAAATCAAGGAGGCTTTCTAAATTTGATTTTCTAATTTGTTTGGGACAGAGGTCTAAAAAATAATTTTTTTCTCTAACGTTTAGTTGTAAAGTTCAGTTTTTTTTTGCCTGCAATTTTTTTAAAAAAGCGAAGGCACTTTTTATTTCAAATGATCAAACCGTAATTTATTGTCAAAAGTTGCTTTTATTTGATTTAAACAAAAAATAATATTAAATTTTCAAGAAAATAAGAGCCTCATGGCTAATATTCTATTTTTTAATGAATATTAGTAGTGTCATTTACCAATTTTAATAATTTAATACTATTTATTTTTAGAGATTCAGGGATGTAGAGATGAATTGGGAAATGAAGCCTGCAACGGTAAAAAAAGAATCTGCACAAATAAGCCAGAGAAAAATTCGGAGTATGAATGCGGTTCTTGTGTTCAGGGATATAGAGAAGATACAGAGACAAAGGAATGCATAGGTAATATACATAATAATCTATAAAGGGAAGAGGTAGATGTTGCGTCTCTGCCGGTCTGTCATATACATCAAAAACCAGTTATGATTTACGAATTCCGACAAATTTAAATATCCTCTTTCTTACTATTAACTCATTGGTTTTCGTTTTCACTGTTATTGTAAAAGGAAAGGGTGCTGGCTTTATTTTATTTGAGTTCCTTCTATTCCTCTATTTAAAATTGATTTCATTTGATTTCAACCGCAAACAATATTTAGATTTTCAATAATGAGAGTCTCAGAGCCAAATAGACTAAGATTGTAAATAACATTAAAAAATTTTTTGCTTGCTATAATTTTTTTTATTCGCTTCTTTTTATGCGCTGGTACAAAAGGAAATGAATTCCTCAATGAGAATATACATTTAGATATAATAATTCTTAATATATATCACATTAGTTTTTTTTTGAACAGTTACTGTAAAATACTTTGTGGGTGGTTTTCTTTGATTTGAACACCATGTAATTTAGAGTCATTGCATTTGGTTAAAACAAAAAAATATTATTCAATTTTGCAATAACAAGAGCCTAGGAGCTAAATAGGCCGCTAATGTGATAAATATTAATACAGTTTTACCTGTAAAATAATATCTGAATATTGATTTAAATAATATTTTCCCCTATTTCGAAATTAAATCTAATGACTAAAAAAAATGCTTGCTAGCACTAATATACCTACATAAGTGTATATATATATATATGCACACACGACGGATGCATTTGTGATAAACAGAAAGGACTTTATTTGGAAAGGATATTTTTTCTTCTTTTTTTCTTATTCTGTTTTTTTTTGCCCAAGGGCATCAAATAGTTTGTTCTCTATTATAAATATTCGTTTAGATGCAATCTTTCTATGAATATTACTCATTATTTTTTGAGTACTTTTATTGTAACAAAATAAATGCGTCTGGTATTATTTTATTTGAGAATTATGTAAATTATTGTCATAAGTTAATTGCATTTGATTAAAAAAAATTTAAATTTTCCCTTCATAAGATACTCGGTGCTTAATAGGCTGCTCATGTAATGAATAAAAATACAATTTTGAAGAAGAAAAATATTTGAATATATATTTAATAACACTTACTCTAAATCTGAATCCATACTCTGAACTCATAATCTGAAAACAAACAACAGAAAAATATAATGGTTTTAATATGGTTAATAAAGATAATGATTTTTTTAAAAATATTATAAAAGTAGTTAACACTGCAGAAAAAGAAGAGAATTTCGTTGAATTAGTAAAAAATAAAATTTAAATAAATAACACAAGAACATTGACTTTTAAACATCGTTAAGTACCGCTACATATGAACAGTTATTTATGAACAAAAAAGTACGTGGAAAAGTTATAAGTTAAAATTGCAGATCTTGCTTGCTAGATTTAACATTATTTAATAGTATTAAAAATAATCGCATTGTATAGAGTGACGTCATCGGAGAATGTCAAGTGATGCTTTTTTCTACAAGGTGGAAGGGTTCCTCATTGCATATACTTGTTTAGATTTAATCTTTCGGAATATATATGTCTCATTAATTTTTTTGCGTATGGTTTTTGTAAGAAATCAAGAGGGCTGGCTATATTTGATTTAAGCACACTGCAATTAATAAACAGAAGTTAATAAATTTTGTAATTGAAATTTGATAAAATTTGAAAAAAAAAATGATATCGAATTTTCCATCAATAAGTGCCACGGAGACTAATGGGGAAATAATGAAATGAATATTATAAAATTTCTTTTTTTTATTATATTAAAATTTAACTAATATTTATTTGTAGAGATTCTAGGATTTAGAGATGAAAGGGGGAAATGAACATAGTTCAGGTCAAAAAATTAGTTGCTCAATTAAGCCGGGAAAAAAATTAAAGTACATTTGCGGATCTTGTATTTAGGGTTATAAAGTAGATATAGATCCGAAACTATGCAAAGATAATTTACAATATAATCTAATAAAAGAAAAGTTTGAGGCAGCGTCTGAGCGTCTCGGTCATCAAAATCAAAGACTAATAAAGATTTTCAAATTCTGACTTCAGCAAGGAGTATTTTTATTTCAAAATTCTAAAATTTGCTCAAAATTCCTAATTTGTTTAGGAGAGATGTCAGAAAAATTATTTTTTTCTTAAATGTTTTGTATTAACCATTGTCAGAAGGAAATCTTTAGATGCTTCTGTTACTTTCACATACTTAAAATATAATGGAAATGAAAAAATAAAGCTGTTGCTCTCAATATTAGATATTTTTCAAGTATATACATATATAAACTGGACGAATGTATCAGCAATAATCAGAAAGGACATTATTTCGCAGGAATATTTTTGTCTTTTTTTCTCATTCTGTTTTTTCCTGTCTAGATTCTACAGAAAATGAGTTCTTCATTTTTAATATACGTTTAGATATTATCTTTCTTAATATTTGTTTTATTAGTTTTTTTTCCGTGCAATTTTTTGTAAAAAATCAAGGAGGCTGCTTTATTTGATTTGAGCATCCTGTAATTTATTGTCAAAAGGTGATAACATTTGATTCAAACAAAAAACATCAAATTTTCCAAAAATAAGACCTCAGATGCTAATATTCTATTATTGTAATGAAAATTAATAGAATTATTTCTTTATAATAATATCTAAATATTATTTATTTGTAGAGATTCAAGGATGCAGAGATGAAGGGGGAAATGAATACTGCTCCGATAAAAGAAGAAGTTGCACAAATAAGAAGGAGAAAATCAGAGTATGTTTGCGGTTCTTGTATTGAGGGATATAGAGAAGATATGGAGAAGAAACTATGTATAGGTAATATACATAATAATCTATAAAGGGAAGAGTTTGATCCTGCGTCTGTGCCGCTCTGTCTCATAAATTCAAAACCAAATAAGGTTTTCAAATGTCGACATTGGCCTCAGGGAGCATTTTTATTTCCCAATTCTTAATTATTTTGTTCAAAATTTCTAGATTGTTTAGGAGAGATGTCTGAAAAATGATTTTTTTCTTAAATATTTAGTATTAACTATTTTCATAAAGTGATCTTTAGAGGATTCTGTTTCTTTCACATATTAAAAATGTAATCGAAAAGAATAAATATAGCCTTTTCTCTCAATATTAGGCATTTTTCAAGTATAAACATATGCAAACTCGACAGATGTATTAGAAATAATCTGAAAAAACTTTATTTCGCAGGAACATTTTTTTGTCCTTTTTTCTTATTCTGTTTTTCTGTTTTCCCCCAATTATTGTCATAAAGTACTCTCTTAAAAAGAAAGAATGATTTTCCCTACTCAGAGAAGAGTGAAATTTTTTTAATTCAACTTAAGTGAAATACACCTATTTTTGAGCGAAATTCTTGCTTTGCATTCACTCGAACTTGAGTGGTATTTATTTAAGTAATACTTGAGTGGTTTTCGCTCAAACTTAAGTGATTTATTTATTATTTAATTGTGTGTGAACTATAAGCTTTATTTTCTATCGTTTTATTTTAAAAAGCAAACGATGCTAAATTGAAATAAGATTGTTTTGTTCTGCGGTCTAAATAGATAATGTCTTTACTTTTACTTTACGTAAAATTTTTTTCTGTAGAATATTTCACTTAATATTTCGAATTAAGAAGAATTAAAACAAAATTTAGTTAACATTGGTATTTCTGAAGAAGACGCTGTTTTACTTTTCGGTAAATAAATATACTTTGGAGTTTCTATTTTTAAAATACTTTTTTTAAGTACTTTTATTTAGAATGTGTTATATACTCATCGGATCATCCTCCGGGATGCTTCCCAGACCGTCGCCAATAGCCCATTGTGCAGCTCTAGTGCGACGTAAATTAACAACAACAACAACAACAAGATTACCAGATTGCAAAAAATGAAAACAAAAGCGCAAGTTGAGTTAAAAGCGTAGCTAGAGGAGAATATTTAAGTGTTCTATAGTGCTTTTAGTAGCACCTTTTTCAGCTGATAGTGCATAAACTAAAGAAACGAGAAGAACACAGAGCTTGATTTGCAGTACAATACAGTGAAAACAAAGAGACTCTTAAACAAAAAGTCAATTGCTCTTATGGAGCAAGTGTCTACATCTACAATCATATGAAAGAAAAAACTTCAAATCCACTGTTTTGTTTTTCATTTCACACATGAGCTCGGCAGTCAATTTTATTTAGCTCCTTATCAAAATTCACATTTTCCTGAAGAAAAAAAAACATTTATACATTATGTAGACAATTTTTAAAACATAATTACTAATTTTGGTACATTCTTTTTCTAATAAACTTGACAAATTAATACTTTTTCCCCCTTTTCACACTGGTGAAATACAAACTGTTTCAGTTAAAATTTCGAAATACTTCAGAAAATCTCAAACATTTTTGTTAACTTGAAACAGAGTTTCACAGAGTTTTACAGCATATCTTTCACTCAAAAAATAAATTATAAAATAACATTTATATCATTATTAAAATTCAATAATCAAACAAGACTATAAGTCAGAAAAAAGCTATTTATATACATCACGATATTTACTCCTTTCACTTTAGTATATAAAACGCACTATTTATTTATTTATTTATTTCTGTTTAACTCACTGAGTTCTCCCCCCCCCCGTTACTGAGAGGGGAAAAAAGAATAAAATCTCCCATTGAAATACAAACATTTTTAAAAAACTTGATTCTGTAAAAAAAATTGTCCTACGTTTTTAGCTATAACTTTAAAAATATTCAATAAAAAAAAAATTGTTTCAAAACAAATTGTTTTAAAAATTTTTGTTCTCAAACTTGAAAGAGAAATTGTTTAAAACTGTGCAAAATATAAGTAATTAAAGTTGTTGTTTTATACAAGGTATACGCGGAAAAAAATTTAAAAACAATTTTCATAGTTTTAGAGGGAATCGTCTAACTTTTAATTTATTTTCAATTTAATGAGAAAGAGAGTACTCTTTGATTTGACAAAAATTTATTTATCATACTACTAATTTTAAAGCCAATTTTATCGACATTTAAGTTTTTTTCTTGATTCGCCTTAAATTTAAAAACTTCTTCAGTTATCGAAATAAATTTAAAAAAGAAGTCTTTGTTCTCTCAATCATATGTAGCATATGATTTAACCGTGGTGGTAATCCTTCAGTCACGTAATATTTCATTTCTATGTAATAGAGTCAAATAGAGAGCTAATAGAGTCATAGTCAAAATAACTGTACAATTAAAAAACCTATAGAAGTGGCACATTTACAGTTTTGCCCCTTCACTTTTTGGTAATTAATAGAAAATCTATTAAATATGCTTACACCACATTCTAAAGGGAACTTGTTCTGAATCTGATTACTATGTGAGAACTGGAATATAAGAGCAAAATTGCTTTATATGAATAAACTATATGAAATACAAGGAATTTATAAATGGAGTTTACCAGCCAGGTGGACTAGCGGTCAGCGTTCTTGACTGCGAAGTCAGTGGCCGCGGAATCGAATCCCGCTCAGGGCATGGATGTTTCCCTCTCTCTATGTGTTGTTCTTTGTTGTGTGCTGTGTGAAAGTGGCTCCAAATTTAATTCTATCTCGCAATAAATATTATTTTTAATACTGCTCCCTTTTTTTTACTTTTAATCTGTAACTATTGTAAAACTCTAATTTATTTGTATTTTAAAATACTTTAATTAGCATTTTACTTTTATTCAAATGTTAATTCTCTGCATTTTCAATTTTGCCTCCAAAATTGAACTTGAGGAAAAGTGGTAAGAAATTTTATGATAGCAACAAAAGAAATATACTAGTTAGTATAATGTCATAAATAATCTATGAAATACGTAAATGGTTTTAATTCTGAATGAAAATTAAATAAAAGCAAAAACAGGATAAAAACAGAAAAATTCAAAATACTCTTTAATTTTTTTAAATATAATATTTTCCACTTTTTTAAATGATATATTTATAACAAAATGTATAGAGCACCTGAATATGCAGATTTAAATGAATAGATCTTGCAAATGTGAACTTTCATAAATTAAAGACAGTCAATTTTATTAATAGGAAGCAATTTAAGTAACAACAATTAAAGACTGTATGAAATATAAATTATTTCGTAAATATCTTTTACAAAAGAAGTATAGAATGATATGAAATTAATTATCCACAAATATTTTGTACCAAAATTGTACATCAAAAAAACTGAAACATGGATATAAATTTATTATATTAAAATAAAATGCTAAAACTTTAATATGAGATCTGGAAAAATTCTAATACTCTATTTAGATATAATATATCAATTCATGCTATGCTTTAACAAAGATAAAGCATAGAATCAGATTTTTTTATTATTCCATAATCATCCACATTTAACAATTTCAATTTTGAAAACTTTTTTTGACAAGTAATTTAAATTAATAGTTTGTTATTTAAAAACGCTGAAAAATAGTTAATTTAAGAGGAAAGTATATATAACACATTCTAAATAAAAGTATTTTAAAAAAAAGTATTTTGAAAATAAAAATAACAAAGTATATTTACTTTCCAAAAAGTTTTCTTCAGAAATATCGCTATTAAATAAATATTGTTCTAATTCTTCCTAATTCAAAATATTAAGTGACATATTCTCCAGAAAAAAATTTACGTAAAATAAAAGCGAAGACACAATCTATTTAGATCGCAGAACAAAACAATTTTATTTAGCTTTATAAATGTTTGCATTTTAAAATAAAACGATAGAAATTCCATCTTATAGCACACAATTAAATAATAAATAAATCACTCAATTTGTTTATTTGATAACAATCGTGGTTTAATAGGTATTGCTTAAATAAATGACTCTCAAGTTTGAGTGAACGCAAAGCAAGAATTTTGCTCAACTTGAGTTAAAAAAATTTCACCCTTTTTTGAGTACGGGAAATCACTCTTTCATTTCAAGAGAGTAACTTTCATTTAGAAACACGTAAGAATCGCATAATATCCAATTGCTCATCTAAATAATATCTAAAAAAATTACAGTAATAAAATTAATATTAAAAATAAAATTAATTAATCTACATCAATAAGAGCTGTTACTCATAAATAAATTTTGATTTAATCAATAATTTCTTCCCTTTTATATTAATATTTTTCGATATTAACCATTTATTTTGTCTTGAAACATTAAATATTAAATCAAGCGATGACAGCAAACAACATTAAAAACAACTGAAATAATGATTTGCTTCTTAGACAATTTAGTCGTGTGATTAAACAAAAAGGATTTGCAAGAACCATGACTCGGAAATAAGAACCTACGTCGGCTATAAAGAACTTTATTTTAAACGTGACAACGACTAAATTTTTTAAAAGGCTAAGTAATTGTAAGCTGCGTATTAAAAATTCGAAAAAAGACTCTGTAATAGGTTATTTAGGGAGTATACTATTTAAAAGCTGTGAATTGTATTTCAAAAAATACGGAATGTGAAGCAAATGTTAACAAGTATACTTGTTAGTGCAAAGAAGGTCTTAAACCTCAAGACGAAGCTAAAAAAGGATAAAGGTTGCGTAATGCATTGGTAAGCAAAACTTAAATTAATACGAGACATTCCTTTCCAAAATTAAGAAAAAAAATCTATCGAAAATAAGAATTAAATATTGAATAAGGATAATAAGATTAGACTAAACAAATGAAAACATGAAAAATTACGGTTTGTCATGAAAAAGATCTAATAAATTATTGTCGTTCCAATACATTTTTAAAATGCGGATTGCATTGGTAAGCAAAACTTCTCATTAATACGAGACATTCCTTTCCAAAATTGATAAAGAATCTATGTATAATAAGAATTAAATAATTGACTGAGGATTATAAGTATTGATTAAAAAAGTGAAAAATTAAATAAAAACATAAGAAATTACATTCTGTCGAGAAAAAGATATTATATATTATTTTCATTTCCTTACACTTTTTAAATAGTCTTAAAAAATACTTAGAGATTTATTTTATCAATGCAATAAATGCATCTCTTTACATTGATAATTTTGAAAAATTTTTAATATTAAAATAAAGTTTTGAATTTCAGCTGAGACTGCTCAAATAAAAGGAGGAAATAAAAATAAAATGTAGAGTAAATTTACGTGAATTGGTTTCTTTTAATCAATCATTTCTGTCCCCTTGTGCAACCTTTTTAGCTTTTTATCTTTTATTTTGTATTGAAACTTTAATTATTATGTCTAGGGATGACAACAAATAACATTAAATACAAATGCAGTAATGTTTTGCTTCTTTGACAATTTTGCAGTTGCATTAAAAAAAAAGGATTCTCAAGAACCTTGACACGTAAGTAAATATCTGCGTTTGCTTGAAAAAACTCTATTTTAAATGTGACAGCGCTTGATTAGTTTTTTAATGGATAGGTGGTTTGAAACTTCTTATTAAAATTAAAAAAAAGGCTCTGTAAAAAGTGATTTTGGGAGTGGTATAATTTAAAAGCTTTGAATTTTTTTTATCTTAATTTTTTTTAAAATTTCGTGCATTTTCTAGAAATAATTCATGAGTGTAAATACACTGACTGTACTGGAAAAAATAAAAAATGCGCAGCAAGTGGAATCAATTATAATTATGAGTGCAGAGACTGGTTTAGACAGAAAGATGAAGCAGAAAAAGGACAAAAGTATGCGGATTGCATTGCTAGGCAAAACTACTCATTAATACGAGACTTTCCTTTCCAAAATTGAAAAAAACTCTGTGTATAATAAGAATTAAATATTTGAATGATGATTATAAGTGTTGAATAAACAAGTGAAAAATTAAAAAAAAACGTGAGAAATTACGTTTTGTCGTGAAAAAGATGTTATATAGTATTTTCGTTTACTTACACTTTTAAAATATTCTTAAAAAATACTTAGAGACTTATTTTATCAATTAATAAGCTATTACGTTTTGCGCTTTCACATAATTATCATTGAAGAGAGCTTTTAGAGTTTAGAAGGACTAACAATAAACTAAAAACGGAAAATAGTGTTTTTGTACACCCTATGCCATAAAGTGTAGCAATAAGTTTGTAAATTGCAACAACTAATTTCATTATTATGTGCGACTATGGCATGAAATTTCTTAAAGTTGGCTTAAATATTTTAAGATATAAGAGCATTTGTATGAAAAAAATATTTTTTTTTGTCTAACGTTATTTTTGCGATAATTTAAAAATGTTTCAGAAAACTGTTCATCATGCAACTATTACTCATTTAAAAAAATAAACATGTAACTCTAATTTAAAAACGCGTAAGAGTCGTACATTATATAATCCTCTTTTAAATAATATCTAAAAACACCACTAATAAAATTACAGCACTGAAATAAATTTTAAAAGACAAATTACTAAATCTACATCATAAAAGCTATAATTTGTAAATAAATTTTGATTTGTATAAAATGTGTACAAGAAAAAGAACGGACGTGAAACTCCTTATACAAATTTACTGATCTATCATAACTTAAACATGTAACTGTTGTTTGAAAATGCGCAAGACTTACATAATATCCAATACCTCCTCTAAACAAATTATGAAATTCTTGCCTTAGACGTAACAGTTTTAAGGATTTTATTTTAATATAAACTCGTAAAATGTATCAGGAAAACTAAGAAAAAGATTTAAAAAAAAGAAAATAAATGCTAAGATGAAGGATTTTTGTTAATAAATGCATCTCTTTGCATTGTTCATTTCGAAAATTTGTTGTAATTAAAATAAAGTTTTGAACTACCGCTGAACCTGCTCAAATAATAAGAGCAAATAAAATTATATGTGGAGCAAATTTAAGTGATTTGGTTTCTTTTAATCAATCATTTCTGCCCTTTTATATCAACCTTTTTAGCTTTTTAAATTTATTTTGTATTGAAACATTATTTATTAAGTCTAAGGATGACAACAAATAACATTAAATACAAATGCAGTAATGTTTTGCTTCTTAGACATTTTTGTGATTGGATGAAAAAAAGGATTCGCAAGTACAGTGACTCTTAAGTAAAGACTTGCGTTTGCCGCAAAAAACCTAATTTAAAATGTGACAGAGACTAATTTTCTTTCCAAACACTAGGTGGTTGTGAACTTCGTATTTAAACCTTAGAAGTAAAGACTCTGTAAAAGGTTATTTAGAGCATATTATTTAAATGTTTTGAATTTCTTTTATCTTTTCTTAATAAAATTTCTTGCATTTTTTAGACGATATTCATAAATGCAACGACACTGACTGTATTGGAAAAAATACTGAATGTGTAGCGAATGGCAACAGGTATATTTGTGAGTGCGTAGAAGGGTTTAGACCAAAAGATGAAGCTAAAAAAGGACAAAAGAATGCGGAATGCATTGCTAAGCAAAACTTCTAATTAATGCGAGACATTCTTTTCCAAAATTAAAAACAAATCTTGGGATAATAAGAATCAGTTATTTGAATGAAGATAATAAGTATTGAATAAGGAAATAAAAAATTGAAAAAAACAAGAGAAATTACATTTTTTTATTGAAAAAGATGTTATTTATTTTTATAGTTTACTTACACTTTTAAAATATTATTAAAATTTCTTATCAATTTCTATTTCTTTATCAATTAATAAGCTATTACGTTTTGCTCTTTCCCATAATTATCATTGAAGAAAATAACTTTTAGAGGTTTGAGGGTCTAACAATAAATTAAAAACGGAAAATATTGTTTTTGTGCTCTCTATGCCAAAAAGTCTAGCAATAATATTGTAACTTGCAACAATTATTTTGATTATTTTGTGCATTTATGGCACAAAATACGTAAACCTGGCTGAAATATTTTTGGATATAATGGTGTTTTTATAAAAAAGAAAGTATTTTTTTTGTCTTACATGATGTGATAGTTTAAAAATATTTAATAAAATTATTCATTATGATACTATTACTCATCTAAATAAAAATAAACATGTAACTGTCATTTAAAGACGCGTTAGAATTACATAATATCTAATTCATCTTAATAACATCTAAAGTAACTGCTAATAAAATTACAGCAATGACGTTAATATTAAAAGAGATATTAATTAATTTACATCAATAAGAGCTGTAACTCGTTAATATATTTTGATTTTTGTATAAATGTTTACAAGTGAAAAAAAGGAAATGTAATTCACCATACAACTGTTACTCATCTAACATAACTAAAACATGTAATTGTTATTTGAAAATGCGTAAGAGTCACTTAATATCCAATACTTCTTCTAAAAAAATTATGAACTTTTTTTTAGACACATCAGTTTTAAGGCCTTTATTTTAATAGAAACAAATTTTAAAAAACGAAATAAATACATAGATGAAAGATCTTTGTTAAATTAAGCCACGACTATCACTAATGATTCAAATAATTATCAGAAGCCCTAGACGCCCAGAGAACTTCCGACCAATAAGTCTCCTGCCTACCTTAGGCAAAATATTAGAACGAATCATCTTTACAGGGCTTGACTTCTTACTTACTTTCTTTCCGAAGGAACAGTATAGATTTCACAAGAAACTCTAAACAACTAAACAGCTCATATGCCTAATTGATTTCATCAGTGTTGGTTTATTCAAGAATAAAGCCAAGCTTATGGCCGCGTCTAGCATAAAACACTCATAACTGAACTAATTCATCAAAAAATACCTTTCAACATCATTAAAATTATAGATTCCTATTTAAATAACAGAACTTTTCAAATCTGTTTTTATGGCCACCTCTGTGCGGGTGTCCCGCAAGGTAGTGTTTTAGGTCCAATACTCTACTTAATATTTGCTAGTGATTTTCCATCTTATCCTGCAACACTCAAAGAAATCATCTCATTGCCTATTATGCAGACCATACTACTATTGCGATCAGATTTTTAAATGCAAATCTTGCTGCAACTAAAATGAATAATCTAATTCCTGATATAAAATCCTGGTGTGCAGACAAAAAGATCCTAATTAATACAGATAAATCAAAACTAGTGTTGATTCGACGAAAAAAGAGAAATAAAACAATCAAGAATAATGTAGCACTATTTAATAAAGCTATCCCGATTGTCAACCAAGCTGATTACCTGAGGCTAATAATTAATCAACTAACCTAGAATCTTCATATCGAAAAAGTAATAAATAAGGTTCATGCAGCCTACAGCTTATCTCTTAATCTCTTACCTCTTAATCTCAAGAAGTGTATCAGGTCAATACTTACGTATACATGCCCCGTCTGGGGGGCATTAAACAATCTCAAATTAAAAAGTTGGAAACTACACAGAATTAGATACTAAGACGTATCACTGGTATTCCTTATTACTTACCCAATAAATCAATAAATAAGCACTATAAACGAATACATAAATAAATTGAATGCCTCTTTTTTTAGCAAAGTCAAAGACACTGATCTCACCGGCTTCAATGAGCTGTTAAACAAAGACCTACTTTTAGATATGAGAGATTATAATCCCATAATATCATCCCTACTCTCAGATACTATTCTTTCTAAACACTAGAAGTTATTTTTCCCCATCCCATCATTACTATGGATACTCCCAGAGAGGTGAAAGGACCTTCATGTGATCGCCGACTCGGGAGTATCCACCCCAGAATTCATACTTAAATTTTTCCCTTTATATTTTTTATATTATTGCTTAACAGATATAGCCCGCTACCAAACTTAATTTATCCTCTCAACTATGGATGCTCCCTGAGCAGGAAAGGTCGTCCATGTGATCTTGCTCGGGAGTTTTCCCACCACCTACTAAGCAATGTATTAGATAA